TTCCCTGGCCTCGGTCAGGCCCACGGACCGAAGGACGAACCACCGGTGGACGCGACGGGCCTCCCAACCCTCGCTTCGATGAGGTCTGGGCTTCGTCCGTCTCATCGCTTCGATGAGACGGACGGATTCTCCGTCTGTTCCGCCCTCGTTCAGCGCGGCCGTTCGGCTGCTCAGCTTGGTGTTTCTCGGTGACCGGGCACGAAGAAGAGGTACTTGAAGCGTTGCTTCAGCAGCTGCAAGGTCTGGGAGACCTTCTGGAAGTCCTAAAAGCAACGAAGAAAAGAAACCCCACCCAAAAGCCGCTTGTCATGTTTGCTTGTGTCTCATTCGTGAGAAGGAAGGGAACCCATGGGAACCCTGTGGATGAGAGGGCCGAAGTCGGGTCCTAGCGGACTGGCTGGTTTTGAAAAGAAGGAATCGGAGGATGTGGGATGGCAAAGCAACCGAGCGCGGGCTGAGGACTTGCACAGAATACACCTTGAGTGGAAAGCATGAAAAGAACAACTGGGCTGCACCCACACAAACGGTAGTACTCAACATGAGCTCCAGAAAAGACCTGGGTCATCATGAGTCACACAAAAGACATGGGCTGCTCGGTATCCTTCAAGTGGAGCTCCATTTTCCTGCCCCGAGCTTCTTTCAGACCCTTCACCCACCGAGGCACGTGCGACACGTCGCCGGCCAAGAGCAGGGCATCCTCGCTGTAGGGACCCACCTGAGAGGTGCCGGCAGCGAACGCGGGCCGTGGCCCCGGGTTCACAGGGGCCGGTCAAAGCTGGCCGGGTCGAGGTGTGGATCTGAAAAGTGGACCGGAGAGGTTAGAGATGCATGAGGCATGATGCAAATGTCGGCGAAGCCGTCTTGGCTGCCGCTAGAAGCCAACAGATCGACCGTGAGAAAAGACGGACATCGGTCCTTTTGGCCTGACGCACACGGCATCGGCAGATGGGGCATGGGAGCCTTCCCTCGTTTTGGTGCCTCCCACCAAATAAGCTGTACACTGTACCCCGAAGTTGGCAGCTGCAAATGGTGCACTTCAGAAGTTACTGCCAACGAAAGTGAAACATCAAACAACAAACATCAAAAAACTACTTGAACAACAAGGCTTTCCTGCCTGCACGGTCCTTTTGGTAGTTCTTTGCCTGCCTGTCCCTCTTCCCTTCTGTCTTCATCTGTTGTTTCTTGAGGGCTTTCATTTCTTCTTTAATTTCGTAGGGCAATGATTGCAACTTGGTTGGATCGATGTCTGCATTCATCGGGCGGCCGTTGGCCAACGAGTAGCGACCGTGGATGATGGCTCTGAGATTCTTCACAGTCTCTGTCCTCGCCAAGTCAGGCTGGTACCCAGTGATGCGGAATCGGAGCTTGGTTCCGTCAAAATACAATTGTCCTCCTCCATCTTCTGCAACCTTTTGCATCAATTTTCTCACTCCGTTGAACGATCTTGAACACCAATCCATGTTGGACTCAAAGTCGAAGTCTTTGATCAACGCACTTGTGCCACACGGCATGAGGATCAATCTCCAACTACCTTTGCTACCTTGAACAAGTGTTTAAATGCTGCGATGCCGTGCCATGCCTTCTGATTTTCTCACCAATCATCACATGCGTCTCAGAATCAGAAAAGCACATCATTTAAAACGTAGGTGTCACCACACCGCAAATGACACCCGGGGGACAGCTACCCACCACCTCTGAGACTCAGATCTTTGCATTTCCAACCCACCGGGCATCCCGACCGGCAGCTCCTCCAACTGTCGGAGGTTCTCGTCCCAGTCCGTATGCCTCGGTCTCGGTCCAGTCTCGGTCCGGTCGACGGGCCGAACGCCACGAAGCCCCGAGGTCCCGCGCTGGTCCATCCAAGCCCTTCTAAATTGGCCGTTCATGTCTGGATGTGTTTGCAAGTTTTTTGTAACAGATGTGTCCCGTCAAGTCAGTGCGTTCCTTTCTTTGATCAAGTCCTTCAAAGAATGGATCCATGGATCAATTCATACAGGATCCATTTAATCCATCTCAGACTTGGCAACCCCTTTTGGCGCACTCGCACAGCCGGCCGCCCGGCACCTATCGGCACCTCTGGGCACCCCGGGCACGTCAGAGATGCCAAAGACCTCGGTGAAAAGACGACCCGGTCGGCCGTGCTCCGGTTGCACGCGATGGTGATTTCACCGCCATTGGTAGCTCCAGCTGTTAGTACTCAGTACCCTGGACCCAAGATTCACAGGGTGATCGGAGAAAGGTCCGCGAAGCTTTCGAGGGCTTTGGACATCTGCCATTGGTGGTCTCCACTTTGCAGAACTGCCCCAAAACACCTAGCTCCCAAAGGAAGCACCACACCCTTTACCAGATGCGAACACTGTGTTTTGCCAAATGTCAAAGCAAACCTACCCTTCTGAAATGCATAACCTTCCGACCACATTTGGGGGGCATGCCTTCGCAAACGAAGCAGATGCAAACTAGCAACAACGCGGCCTATGAATACCACTTGCCTTGCCACCGCTGCTACACTGCTGCGACGGCACAATGTATCACACCGAGGTTTGCGATCTGGTTGTCCTTTTTGACTCTCCTTGGTTTCCAGGCTAATGCAAGAAAACCACTCCTAGTTGTTGCAACCCTACAAGCATCTGTTTGTGGACTCAACAGCTTCTGTTTTCCTCTTCAAAAACTCGCACCGCTGGAACCTGGGACTCGTTGCACCGCCTCCTCCTCTGGGCTTCGCCACCCGAAACCTCCGTGCCACACGGGAGACCCTCGCCACACGGCAGCCTGGCAGAATCGATCAATGGCCGGTCGTTGTGCTCGGTCTCACTCGGTCAATGGATTCTTTCGAAAGAATCAATCTCAGTCAGGTCACCTTTTTTCAATGGGTCTCACCACCAAGTCGTGGTTGGCCTTTCGGGCCTCTTATCTGAAGGTCTGGGAGTTGAGAGAGAACTAAGGCCCTCAGGGCGCAACAAGAACCGTCATCGCAGCGTGGATTAGCACGTGTCAGGAATCCTCGGGTCCTAATATGACTCATTCCCGGTGTTTCCACTTTATCTTGATAAGTTTGGAGCACAAGTCTTTCTTGATAAGTTTGGAGCTAACTTGCCAGTGTTTCGAAACGGTGTCCTGATATGGATCTTGCGTACATCGCCACAGCTTTCTTGCTTGTTCAAGGCACTAAAAAAAAGAAAGCAAGGCTAAAAACTTGGAAACCGAGATTGGAGTAATTTTGGCTTCGCCGCGCAAGCGATCCAAAAATTGGGATTGCAACACGCAGTGGAAAGTCTTGGCTGCCCATTGCAATGTGCCAACTAGACAGAGTCAACTGTTGGAAAAGAATCCCACTTCTCGTATTCTGTCAGATTCAATACCGTGCAGGAAGGGTCCAACTCGTTCTTCAGACGTCCGATCGTCTTTTGGGGGGCGCGGCTCGTCTTTCTCGGATCTTTGCATTCTTTGGTGAGGTCTAGACCTCTTGGACATCCACCACCTTCGACGCCTGCCAGGATGGTCAGCCAATGCCAGGGTCGCGAGCGGCGCGAATCGGTCGCTTTGCTGCGCGTCCTCGGCTGTGCGAGGCCGGGCCGGCCCAGCTGGACCAGCTGGACGGTGCCTAACGAATCCTGGAACACCGACCTGGAACACCTCAAGCGTCTTGGGTGGTGTCAAGACGTTCGTTGACCAAATGCGCCTGAAAAGACTTGAAATCATTTCAATCCTTCATGATCTTCTCACGATCTTCTCACGATCTCCTCATGATCTTCGGATCTTGCCGCGACGTCCCGCAGTCCTCACGTCCGCAACGTCCGCCGACCGGGTCACGGCCGGTGCGACCGGGGACACCGATGGCGGTGCCGGCCACATTCACCCCTGGCGGCCAGCGACGTCGCAAGCGACGGCCCGACGAGGCCGACGGCCCGTCGTTCGAGGACTCGGGTGGAAAACGGGATTCGTGGGTTGATCAAGTGGGATTCACCTCACCTTTGGTCAAACTCCACAGGTTCAAGCGATGTACAAACAGGTGTCCTTTTGTTTGGTTTCCACCAAAAAGGTGCGGACAAATGGAACATCTACTTGGGAAGAGTTTCTCAGAATAAATATATAGAGGACTTTCGGTGACAGCCTAGCTGCCCCTCCAACTTCAAGCAGGCTTGACATCAGTGTGTAAGGCAGTGACACCTATACCCTAAGAAGTCCAGGAAACGACGGAAACGCCGATGTTTGAGACCGAAGCAAAGGATATTCCCTGACGAAAGGATGAAAAGGTCACCGTTCATCAGACCGAATCGACTGGACCCCCCCTCTGCCACACATGTTCTGCAACTCATCCATCCAAATTCTGGAAAACGGGTCGACTTCAACTGCCTCCGGCATGGCGCGTTCGCAAGCAACTATGGCTCTCCCAGTCAGCATCCGTGGTGAAGGGCCGAAGGGCTTAGTGGTGAAGGGCTGGAGCCCGTGGGGTCGCTGGGATGCGCTTCTTCGTCTTAACATGTCTCAACTTGGCGTTTTGATCAAAACGACGTGGCCGAGCAATGCTAACAAAGAGTTGTCTTTGCAGTTGGAGACATGTAATCACCAAGTATTCAATGCTGAAGAGCAACTCAAGCTGTAGCCGAAAAAACAACGCTGTTTTGGCAAAATCTTTGTATGTGGTCGAGATTGATTCTGAGATGTTGTGTAGCCCTTCCAGCAAAAAGGAAGTCTTTTGGGCATTCTGGATGGGGGCATGTCGAAAGTAAAGCCCCCGAACAAAAACTCGTTCAACTGCCCACTTGCGCCACACTTGGTGAATATTGGGAATGCTCATCATATGTGGGGCCGGCATACTACAATGCGTTCCAACAAGATCACGGGTTGGTTGGAGCTACTGAATGGAATGAGTATAGTCCGACATCCTGGAACCACACATGAACCCAGCCAGCTGACGGCCAACTCCATACTCGGCTCCACAAATCTATGCGCCCAAACCGTGAGAAGAGAAACAACGTCTGTTCAGCAACGATCCAAATCACTCGAAAACCGTGCCATCCAGGCTTCTCCCGACGGCGGCAAAATTGCATCCTCTTTCTTTCCGAGTTCCTCTTCTCTGGCGCTAGTGAACCCCCAGTGAACGCCACACAGCACGGCTTTGTCGCTGGGCTGCTCCGCGGGACCTCGTCCGCCGTTGCTCCTCACGCAGCGCAACTCCGCGGACAGTAACTGGGCAAGGAGGTGCCGTTGGCGGCTGTGCAATCACAGCTTTCAGGACACGTCCAGGCCAGCGGCCGCACCAGCTCCGGATCCCCCTCACACCAGGAGGTTTGAGTGCCAATGAGGTTCCGAAACTGCGGTTGCTTCAAGGTAGCACATCCACCCAGCTTCATGGCTGCAACTAAGGCTTCCAGGTAAGGTATGGCTGAAGATTGGTAAATGCCACTACCCAAGACATGTGCAAGGGTTGGCAAATAGTCATCCCACATCTGAATCCATGTGTCATCCATGGGCCGATCTTTACAGTCCTCAGAAGCCAACCTTTGCCGGGCCATCTCCAAGCAACCTTCTGAACAACCGTGGTACAGAACCTTGTACCAGCCGCTTGCAAAGGGATTGGAACACTCGCCTTGGATTGGTGTCCGCTCAGTGTGTGTGTGTGTGTGTGTGTCACCACCTGTTCCTAAGGTTCTCATGGCTAATCACAGTTTTGATGAAGTCCACTAGGCTTCCGGAACACAATCCACGACTTTTCAATTCAAGCAGCAGGGGGCTCGTGGACGCATGGATGGCACGAGCCAACGAAGACTCATCCATGTCGTCGTGATACCAGACCTGATCAGTCTGGCGTACCTGCTAGGCGTCAACTGTTTGAACTTTTGAATACGCTGTCCCATTCTGTGTCTTGCAGAAAGCCGCTAATGCATTACTAAACAGTTTTCAACACCTACAAATTGACTGACTTTCCACCTTGCGGTTTGCACTTCCTTCGGTTCTTCAAGTCAAGGGGAACTTCACTCTGATACTAGCTCATGCGAGCAACTCTCTAAGTGTGTTTCGCCACAGGGCCCCACTGCGGGCTGTGGTGTGATCCCCGTCAAGGGGCGCCGTGCACGTTCAGACCCACCTTGCGTGGCTTTCCCTCCCTGAATTCTCTCTCGTTTGCACTCCGGAACTTCCTGTGATTGTCTCTGAATGACGGTACTGCACGATACCCCTGATTTCATGCCGCAGGGCTTACTGTGATCAAAGACTGAAGATGATGTCTGCAATCTCACGCTGCCAAGTAATCACTTGTACAGTCATTTTAGGCACGACTCAGGCACGACCGTACGTTCAGGTTTAGGCCAGTTTCTGCACAGCACGAGAACTTTTCGTCCACTCGCTCCACGACCTTCACTTCGACGCCATGAACTACCAATGGATGGCTCAACCGTCTCCAACACCAAGTACACCTTCACCCTATGGACCTATTTCACAGCCGACCTCCTTGGTGACCCCTTCGGCTCCATATGGTGCAGCTCCCACGATGCCAATCTCAATGCCTCACCTTCAACCACTTCAATCAATACTACCACACCCACAGCATCTACCGCTTCAATACACTTCCCCCACAGCGATGCCGACACAGCTCCAACCCCTTCCCAATACCCACCTGGTTCAGATTCCATCCGCACTTCACTCCGCAAGTTACCCAGTGCAAACAACCCCCCACTCACCGGACCCGAGTCCCTCTTGGACCTCACCCACACTCCTTGTCGCCCCTTCGACATATTGGCCACCACACCCGCAGAACGTCGTACAACACGCACTCCCTACGGACCCTTCTCAGCACATCTCCGCACCGGCCACAGTCCCCACTCCACCAACACCCATTCCACAACCTGGCACCACGGCCACCGCTCCACAGCTCGACACCACGAGTGTCTCCACCACACCCACAACTCTTTCCCCTCCGGCATCAGCCGCCACTCCAGCCACCACCACTTCTACCACTACACCAACACGTTCTCAAGCGACATCCACACGATCCCAAGCTGCCGGTCCAACACCGCCCTCCTGTCAAACCACAACCCCCCGCAGGCCCACCACCTACGCGTGGTATTTGGGCTCCACCACCATTGACAAGTTACAGCACCCACGCCGCTCCCAGTACCCATGCTGCTCCCAGAACCCGCTCTCGTTCCCCTCGCCGATCCAACATCCGTCTCACACCCAACCCTCGGCATTCGGATGACCGTCCCTCCGGTTCTACCCGCGACCCTGCCACTACCCCAAGACCCAAGGGCATCCATGTTGCCACCAGTGCCACCGCCACCGAACCACATCGCCGCCCTTACAACCCCTACACTTTAGCAGAGCAGGACCACGCCAGTCACATCTATGGCAGGGACACTTTCAATCGCATTTTGCACTACCTACATCATCAATGCGACCAACTTGCGGAACGCAACACTCCTATGCTGCGCTACGTGGCCAGGATCCTCACTACTGCCGGCATCTTTGCAAAGGACTTAGAAATGCTTGAGCAATGGATCCATTCCGACTGGGACAACGACATCAACGCTTACAAGTCCACAGCTTATTTTTCCCTCTACATCCCCCGCCTCCAGCACAAACAGCGAGTCGAACACATCCCCCATCGCCGCAACCAGACTGACACTCAACACGGTACAGTGCATGTGTTTGCGTGTCACGCCACTGAGGAAGGCAACCTCCTGAACTTGCTACAGTCTGGACGCTTCAAACCCAGCACCAATCATTCACCCACTGCCCAAGGTTTCTATGCTCAAGGCTATGAAACTACTGGCACGCTGATCTATGACGCCTGGCATACAGCTCGAGTCATCGACAAAAATTGCCAAATGCCAAAGAACAAAGCCGGCATCATCCTCCATTGCATGGCTTGGGGCGCTGGCAAAAGTTTACTCAGGGCGGCGAACACGAAGGAGAACGTCTGCTCGCGGCCGATTGGGACTCGTGGGAACCATGGCAGGAAGAACAACTCATCGACATGGAGACTATAACACCAAGCTACGTCCCAGCTGGAACTTCATCGCCAAGAAGTTCCAGTGCACCCCTGCTCAATGTAAGGCACGATGGGAAGAGATTCTCTCACATCAAGCCACTCTGAATACCGACCAACCCGAACGTCCAGCCTCACCACAAGCAGATCGTGCCGCTTCCGGACATCAAGACGACGCACCTGATCCAGCTTTGCCTGACGCTCATCTCAGGGCTTCCCCCTCTATGGCCGACTCCCACCTTGCGGACGGACCTATTCCGGATCCTGTCCCCCTCTTGTCATCCGAGGCTGTTCCAATCCATCAACATCACGCTGATCTCCCTCCAGATCTGGCTACCTCCCCGACACCACCGAGTACAAGTGCTCCAGCTTTGGACTTTTAGGCGGCCCCTAGTGAGACTCACTCCCCGAGCTAATTCCGACAGTCTCGCGATTTTGCAGCGCTGTATGGATCCTAGCAGACAAAAAGCCCGCCTTTGACCCTATACTTTTGTCCCTTTCTCCCGTCGCCCTTCCACATGTTTCCCGCTCCCCTTCTAGCGGTATATCACCTCAGCCATTTTGACGGTTCAAGTCCTCGCCATGTCTCTGTACACTTCCCCCACGATTAGTAAACGCGGAGGACCTCCATTCAGTACATTCACCATGCCTCGCATGCCTCCGCCGCAACCTGATCCAGGTCCCGTACGGCATCCCGAGATGATGTGGCTCCATTGGACTATCAACTTGCTTTCTTGGATCATTGACAGTATCCAACATCACCCGATAGTTACTCAACCCATACCTCCGATGGATCAATTCCCTACCGAAGCAGACTACCACCGTTTTCGGGACTTCTGCATCAACTTGACGCAGCTCAGCCTCACTCGCGATGAGCTCCAAACCACTTTGCGAGAGGTTCAATCCATTCCACATGATCAACTTGCAGCTCTCACTCGCACGTGGCAATACTCCTGGCATCATGCTCAATATCGTATTTTGACTGGTCGCTCCCCTTCCAATCCGCGTCAGGATCCACGGTCTGATGCTGCTCAACGTGTACCTCGTGATGGACCACCGCCTGCCTCCGACACCATTCGCCTTCAACCGACTCCGCAGCACGGTCCTCATCCTGCACCTCGAGATCGCGCTCGCACCCCACCCGTCCGCGCAGATGATATACATCTACATCCACGCCCTGGACAACATCTACTCAGACCACATCTCAGAGCGTCTCTCCCGCAGGACGTGCCGGTCTACATGCATCACTCTCTCCACCGTGAGACTTGATTGCACCAACACCTCACTTTAGCTTTTGCGAACAAACAGACCGCCGCGCTTCCTCCCCCCTCCCACTCCTGATTACTCCCCCCCAACTAGAAGGATTGCATTTCTCCCCGTCAAACCTTCCCACTGCTTTTCTTTGCTACTTTTCTTTGCTTATGGCTACATCCTTGGCATCAACTTCGGCAACTTCATCTTCAGCTCCCGGTCTTCGCCCAGCTATCGGCGACCTCCCGTCTCAACGTCCAATTCCTGACCACTTGACGGATCCCCATCGCGCACCTACTCATCAACCTGGATCTCCTTCTCCTTCGCTTCCAGATGATGTACATGATCCATTTGCGGCGTCGCTTCGTGTATGGGCCCGGAAGCCATTCCTCAGGACGCTCGCCGAGCTTTTTGCTACTTCTTGAACTACCCGACACCTCCGGCCAGCCCACGCCTAACATCCCGGTCTCCGCGTCGACAAGATCGTCATCCAAGGGAACAATCTCCTCGACCAGAACGACTAGCAGGGAATGCTTCAGTGACGATCTCCCTGGACTTCACTTCATCCACTATGACATCCTCTAAGGCTGCCGGGTCCTCCTAGGTCTTCCTAGATCAACGTTTCTTCACCGTTTCAATGTCACTAGTTTCCTTTGCGCCTTGTATATATGCAAAGGTTATCCGAAAAGTCCCAGTTCCTATTGGTTTCTCTTGCCTCCATCCATCCCCATATCACCACAAACGTATTCCCCCCTTCCTCTTTACACCCGCAGCTGAACCTCTACGCCATGACGGATCCTCCAGTGTCATCTCAAGCTGCCACTAGCACAGCTCCCTGGCGCACTCCATCCACGTCATCTTTGTCGACCACGCCACAAACACCAATGGACCTGTGGAACCAAGCTGGCTGCACTCCCGCCAAGCCTTTACCTCAACGCTTGTTCACTACAACTATGTGGCACCTATCCCGATGGAATCCACACCTCCAACTACCAATCATCCAACCCCACCGCCGACGGCGCACCCCTCGCCGCCAATCTTCGATGGCATCGATACGGCTCCCACCACCCAGGGACCCAACCCCACTGGCCAACCTCCACCCAACCGACCATCGCGATCTCAGACTGCAGCCAGAGCAACTGACGACACCAGCGCCGATGACGTCGTCCTGATCTCGCCGCCAACCCGTCCGCCACCACCCAAACAGCGCCCGGACCGCCCCCAACCCGTTTCTCAACGCACTCATCTTTGCTTTTGCGTCCTGGTAGTTGTCCTGCCAGTCATCCCAATCAAACTCTTCACCGTAATTGGTTGGGGAGGGATCCATTAACACTTCATCCTATCCAGCTGCCCAATCATATGACAGTTCTTCATCAGAATAGTAGGCGTCGATGGGTTTTCGAACAGGACACGACCACCGGGATGTTGTGGACTGCAATGTCGACTCTTGTCCAAGGATAAAACTCATGGACTTCATCACTTCTTCAACTGTCAGTCCTGTGGCCCCAGTGTTTGTCAAAATGAGCTGCAGCTGTTCCTTTGTAATGACGCTGCGACGCAAAAACCACCATGCACG